CCTGGTGAGAAACACGAGGGTGACAATCAGACTGATGAGGGGCAGCTGGGCTGAGACACACAGGGGAACATAGAAACACTAGGAAAACCAAGGTGAAAACTGACAAACCATGACAGATATGTATAATACARTACAATAGTTTATGTAAAATATGTGTTTATTATATAGTATTTTGCTTACAGTATAGTAACCGAGTCTGAAATGTTTAATATAGCACATTTAGATGTAATGTGTACATGAACAGACTTGGCTCACTTGGCAAGAAAGAGTTTAGTCTCTTTCTCGTCCTTAATTATTGCATAATAAACACTWATTATTGATTTATAGTGTTTAAAAATGAATTAAAAACCTATMTATAAACTATTTATAAGCCATGAGGGGAGCTTGATTATAAAGTGGTACCAATTTTTTTCTTTTGACACCATGCACCATTTTAGCTTTCCAAGAAATACGGCTCTGTTTTCAACATCTGCCTGGGACAAAAGAAAGCGGTGGTCCTGGTGGGATACAAGACGGTGAAAGAGGCTTTTGTTAACCATGCTGAAGAGTTTGGAGAAAGAGAAGTGCCATTGGTGGCAAAAGATGCAAACATTGATCATGGTAATAAAATAATTATAATTTAAATATGTAACTCACAGTGAGTGGACTGGATGAGTAATTTGGGTTGTTGTTTCCAACAGGAGTTACATGGGCTAACGGTGACTCRTGGAAAGAAATGCGCCGCTTTGCTTTGACAAACCTGAGAGACTTTGGGATGGGAAAGACAGCGTGTGAGGACAAAATCATCRAGGAAAGTCAGAGCCTCATTCAGGAGTTTAAGAAGTTTAAAGGTAACAGGAGGCAAAAATCAAGATTAGGAAATATTTTTCATTTTTTAAACTGAGTTTTGCATGGGTGTCACTAGGTTATAAGGACATGGGGGGCTTAGCTCCCAGGAGACGCACAGAATTTTTGTATATTATTTATTTGTATTGTGTGCAAAGTATCATTTCAGTAACATTTATTTGGAGAACAATAATTGCACTTTCAGATTATTATTTTTTCCATAGTTATTTTTAAATCCTTTGAGGTGTAGAAAACCACGTCTTCTGGTTGAAGTTGAACTGCTTGTTTGCTCGATAAAAATGACTCTGAAAACAAGGCTGTTTGAACAACAAGAACCTTTATTTTTGCAGTTCAGGAGATACAGCCTTAAAATAACAAATTGTGGCCTCCAAGCC